TTGTAAAAAAAGTAGTAGAAAGGAAGGTCACGTCTTGCACTAATAAAACGTAAAAGCTGCAAAAATATTTCTATTAAAATATATTCGCTCTCTCCCCAGTTCCTGTATTAATTTAAACGTTATTGAAAATAAAAAATTGTCTTATTACACAATTAACAAAATTAATTGAATATGTTAGATGGCTGATGATAACAAATAACTCAGCGATGGGAATGCGACGACTCTTTCCATGTTGGGACGAACCGGGATTAAAAGCTGAATTTGTCATTGTTGTAAAGGTTCCTGAATATTACAATGTTTTTCAAATTCTTTTCTTTTTACATCTATGTCAAAACCTTTGATGACATATTACATCGTAACTTCTGAAATACCCACGTACCGAATAGGAATTGTGATATTTGATAAGCATGACTATACTGGTATTTCTCCCATATAAAACTTCAAATTATGGAGAAGAGAGTTGATGGAAGTACAATGGGATCAAATTTTGAGATTAATTGAATATGTCATATGTACTGTTGAACATACATGGCAACTACAGGAAGGATATTTATTAAGAAATCAATTTGCGATCGCAGGTTTGACAGATGATGGCGTGGATAAATTGGCGTTCGTACTTTACAAGTAGAATACGTTTTTAAAAAAATTAATTTTTATACTTTTATAATAAAACAATTGTAGAATAAAGAAACGTAGTAAATATTATATAATATGTAATGCTACCAGTATTAAAAAATAGCATATATTGTGAATATTTGTATATAACGAATCATTTGTATGTTGTGTTTAGAGAAGAAGATATTATTTACAATGAAAAATAGATCCCATTGCACGCAAAATAGAGTTATCACGTAAAATAGGATGTAAAGTGGTTGGTCAATTGTTTGGTACCGCGGTTAGTCCATCATGATGGTCTTGCATGTGGCTGAACGAGGGTATTGCTACGTTGTTCGGCGTGTATACAATCAATCAGGTATTTTCTCACGTGTGTGATAATACTTCCAAAGAAAACTGAATATAAGTTTTATTTGAAAACACACGAGGAGAGAAAGAATATTCTTCCAATATTTTCTTCCAATATTTTCAATGATATTTAAGTTAAACGTAAAGAATTTTGTCGCATTCAAGTGAAATCGTTTAAAAAATTTTTATTAATTTAATTATATTCTTAATAATTATTAGACTAATGATTATTAGACTAATTGTGATAAATTAATAATTAAATTATTATTTATTTTGTGATTATACTTGTAATGTCTAGATTATGCCTGAGAGTCGAATGTTGGATTTATTCGTAGTCCAGAATCAACAAGAATCTCTTCGTCTAGATGGTTCACAAGTTATGAATCCTCTTGATTCAGAAATTGACAGTATGTCTGAAATTAATTCTCTCTTCTCTTTCACCTATTACATAAAAGGTATAGAGTACTGAATAAATAAAGTTGAAACAATTAAAACATGTAAAATTATTTAAAAACTATAACAAAAATAAATTTTTACTTTACATATTTTAATTTACATATTTTTTTATTCACTGAAATAAGTAATGACATATTCTAAGACAAATATATTCTGGCAACAAAATTTTTAATTAATTGTAGTCTTATCAATGTCTCTAAGAATTTCGATAAATTTATTGTACGTATAATTTCTTGCATGTTTGATCTTATAACGCTCATCTGTTGTAGCACCTTCTATATTGCGTATTCTACACCATACAGTGGGTGATGAAATTTTTCAGAAAGGGATTAATATGTATATGAAAAGAATGTAAGTATTTTCATGTCTTGTATTTTTTCTCTCTTTTTCTTTATGTCAAATAAGTAATTTTTCATTTTTATTTCTTTGTTACATGATGTAAGTTTATATGTAAATAATAATTTATTATATTCTTTACTATATTCTGTGCTATTTTTGTGCCGTATACTGTTACTACATATAAAATAATTTTCTCAAATACTGTCTTACTTCTCGAAATAGAAAGAAAAAATTTAAATAACATGTGTTAAAATAAAAAGAAAGTTTTGTATTCAAAAATTTGCTGTATCCTAAATTTACTATTTGGAATCGATGGCTAATCAGCATTAAAATTGAATTATGTTTTAAATAAATACTTATATATATTTCATTTTAGATGTTACTGATAAAAAATTGAAAAACGT